GCCAGGGGGAGCCACGTGGGCAGGAACATGGGAGACGTTTTGGAGAGCTGTGGGGTCCTTATTGTTTTCTGCCTTCCACCTGCCTCTGACTCCACAGCCAAACAATTCATTTTACAGGCTGAACAAAACTCTGCAAATTGGCGTCTTAGGCTCAGTCATCCTCCGGCTGTCTGGGCTGAGACACTGTAAAGAATTGCCTTGTAGGCTTTGACTGGGAAGAGCAGGCTCTGATCTGTTCCTGCAACTCACGATATTTGAACTCTGTCTCCCTGGGCCCTGCAGAAAAGCCTTTTGCTCCCGTAGCTCTTGAAATCGAAAGCAGCGCTTGTTATGAATTTTTAACACTGCGTGCTCGCTCTCCCCCAGAGCCTCAGGCGGCTCACTCCCAGTGCGGCCCCTCAAGTTGGAGGCTCAAAGCAGCTCTGCCTCTTTCTGTAAAGGCGGGGGCAATGCGAGACGCCCCTGAGACTGCCCTGTGCACTCTGTGTTCCACAAGTCCAAGTGCAGCCACCACAGAAGGCCTGGCCGGACCCCCTGGGAACGCATTCTTTCTGGCCATCTTGTTAAAACATCTGACATTTTGGACAACTGTCCATTTTGTGCATAAGCTGTAACGTGGCTGCCCATGAGGATCTTTCACACAAGCAGAGCACCGGTGCCCTGGCCTGCCCGAGCCCACACCCATACAGGAGCCCAGTAGTAGGCAGAGAAGGCCGTGGAGCATTTGGAGGCCAGGGATGGTTCCTGTCACCGTGGGCTGATCACCTCAGTCCTCCCCCTGCCATGGAACCTGCTGAAGGGAGGATCCACAGAGGCTGTGGTTCACAGCAGAGCTGCTCAGTGGCTGCCTGCGTCTCTCATGTGGCTCACTGGCCCTTCTCAGCGCACGAAAGGATGCTGCCTGTCTGGTGTCAAGTGGTGCAGAATGGTGCCAGGATCTGAGCCCTGCCCCAGCCTCCAGCCCTGAGGATGGCTTTCTGCTGATAGGATCACCACAGCTCAATCACTGTCATGGCTATGCTGTCGGTCCCCCACGCGTCGCTCCCTCCTCTCTGCATTGAGACACAGAGCAGGTGGAAGCAGCAGGAGGCTGGACATCTGTGACCGGGCCTGTGGGTCTGTCTGCAGGTCTCTGGGCTTTGTATGACCACCTTCTGATCCGGTCCTCCTCCTCCTGTCTGCTTCTCTATCTCCTCTAATTCTCCACATTTTCTCATGATGGTGGTCACCATGGTGCCCTCCTCTACATGTGGCTGCTGGTATTAAGTGAGGCTGTCCGTGCACAACTCCAGTGCCCACATCAGCTTGGTGTGAGCGCTCACCAATGTCAGCTCTGATATGACATCAGCCCCACGCTCACATCAGGCCAGGACTCCAGGGAAAGCTGTGCCCCTCACGGCTGTGATGTACTTCACAGCAGAGTTGTGTGCAGTGTGTGCCTTTTCACTATACCTGAGGCCAAGTGACATTAGGAGAGGGGAAGGCTACGGGCCTCCTGCAGCAAACAGTGCCAAGACAGACAGGGACCAAAGGGACCCTCCGCTGTGCTGTCTGGACCTAACTGCATGTTGTTTGTGGACAGACAACTGGGGCCACAGCTGAGATTCCTCCCCAGCCACCAGGACCCCAGTGTCTCAGCATCGCCTGGGTGCCCAGAGGTTACTGGAGCCAAGGGCACTGTTGGGTGAAAACTCGTCGGTTGGCCTTACAGCACCGCTCGTACTGTGAGTGCTGCTCACACCGGTTCCCCTTCACAGACACTGGTGCCACCTCCTCTGCAATAAAGAAGTGGCACCACCAAATGTCCCCAGCTGTGGCTCTTACGGCTTCTTAGTTCCCACATCCTTCTCATCACTTGGTCTCACAAAGCCCTTTTTCCCTAAAATGGTTCACCCTGAATTGATGGCAGTTGTACTGAACAACCGGCCACTGTGCAGGCAGAAAGGCCCTGTGACCTCTGCCCGCCTCCGCTGGATGGATCTATCCAGGACAACCGGCCCTTTGCAGCATGGATTCCTGAGCAGGCGGCGCTACCCAGGCACACAGGACCTGGGCACTTTCTCCTGCCACCAGGCTCTCTCTGTAGCGACTCTGCTTCTGTGACTCTGGCTGTGTCCAGTTGGGCTGGACCTCCCCAGCCCTGCCTCTCACAGGGCAGCGTTTCATCCTCTCCTGAGCTGAGTTTCTCTCCTCTCCCCTTTCTGCTGCCAGCTGAGCAGTGACATCAGCTGGGTCCCACTCCTAGCAGACTGATGGCTCTTCCTGCACTGAATGTTTCAGATTAAGCAAAAGCTATGTTCTGGGTGGGTGACGTGCAGGAGACCAAGGACACAAAGGGCCTGAGAGGTGCTGGTTGTTTGAGAACCATGCTCCCTCACCAGGTGCTCATCTCCACCTGACCCCTTCCCCACCAGGGCCAGCCAAGGGATGGCCACACAGGCTCTCAGGGTCTAAGCTTGCGCTGACCCTTCACATCCCTGGGGCCCGCAATGCTGTGACACTAAGAACTAGGTGGTTCTTTCTGTGCTCAAGGGCTGGGAGATCAAATGGCCCCTGACCACCCTTCCCCTTCAACTCATGAGGAAGAAGCCCACCTCAGCTGCCTGCTGATGAACAGCTCCCTGTCCTCAGGTAGCTTCAATTAGGGCTGCGAACCAGACCAAGACTTGAGTGAGGACAGTGGCCCACAGTAGTACATTCGGGTCCAGTCCGCGTTTGGAGATTCCCAGCTCCTCCGTGAGGGACTGAACCCTAATGGGCCATCCTTCCTGGGAGGATAGAAGTGAGCAACAATCTCTGCCCTCCTGGACTCTAGGTGGCCTCTGCAGCCCTCGGGGACTGGCTGAGCCTGGAAGCCTCAACTCTGCACCAGGAATCACGGCAGCCACCAAAAGGTGATTGTGAGAGGAGAAAACGCATTCTAGGAGCCTGCCTCCGCAGAGAACCAACACCTCCACCCTGTCCATTGGGATCTGAGAGCCAAAGTACACAGCGTCAAATCCAGCTCTGCCTCTAGGCCGGACACTAGGACCTTCATCTTCTCAGCTGCAAACTGAGGATCAGTATGGCTTGTGCATTCCTGGGACCACTGGAGGACGAAGAGTTGGTGGGGAAGCACTCGGCTCTACCTACTGAGCAGGACACTGGCCCCTCTCCTGGTGCAGACACGATGGTCCACAGGGCAGGGTCCTCACCCCCACTCCTGGAGCTCCACTGCCCACCAGATCTCTGGGGAGTGTCCTAAGCGTGAAAGGTACAGGCTAGAGGAGGAAGGAATGCAGTGTGGAGGAGTATTAGAGACAGAGGCTCTGATCTGACTTCTCTGAGCAGCCCCGTGAAGGAAAGAAGGGAGGAGGTCACCAAGAAAGGGGATGGGGACCAACAAAGAGGCCATTTCTGCTCAACTTACCCGAGGTCCGAAGACTTCATTTATTCCACATGCAATCCCACAGCCCAGGGTGCCAGATACCACGTGAGTGAATGAGACGTCCTCAGGAAATACCTCCCAAAAGTGATTTCACTTCAAGTAAAAGGCCTGTCTGTCACTTCCTCTGAGGATCTGTTAACATCCCAGATAACACCCTAAATTTTTTGCACACCCTGTAATGCTATAAAGTCTCCCACTGACATGAGCAGAATGACTGAGTGGCCCCTCACAGAATGTCACTGAGGTTCCACCTCCACGTGAGCAGCACCAGGCTGCTGGTCTGAACATCTACCTACACCCCAGCACTCTTACTGATGCCTGCACTCTATGAAACATTAATTCATGATTTTCTTAATATCTTATTGATTTTCCCCCCCTCCAAAGGCCAGAGGTTAAAAAACTCCATAAAAACGTCCTGGCAATTTATTGCAGTCCCTTTAAAACATTACAGTAACCTTACAGCTATTTCTTTTCCCATTGTCTTTCTACTTAAGGTTGCAGCTCGAAATGACAAATTTACCTTTTCTATGAACTTCATGTGAACTTGTTTTAAAATATAAAATATAGAGAAATATCCAAACCCTGATGTTGAATGGTTACAGATTTGCACTCTGGACCAAACTGTGGGTCATACAAGAAATTAACCATTCACACTCAAAAGTGCTTGGCGTGGACAACAGTTTGAACCAAAGAATTATTTACAAGTTATTACATAGGGTTTTATATGCATATACATAATCTGTGCACATAATACTTATTAACTCATTAATCTTAACAATGTACTTTAAAAATGAGATAACAAACCATAGTTGGTGTTCCAATTGTAAAGCTGTTCTGTTTTCTAGGAAATGGAGTGAAACCAGCAGGCTGGAGACCTTCAGCTCACTGATTTTCTGCCGGTATCACCTATTTTGTTCTGCAGTCCACATTAAATGGGACAACCCCTCCCTCTTAGGAAGCTGTATGCTCAATTCACCTTCAACTAGAAAGGAGCTGATCAGAAAGTTGGGAGCAGAAAATCATGAGCCAGGAGATTAAAAATGGAAACCATTTTGTAATTTTAGGGAGAACATTTGTTACTGTGAAAGCAACAATGAACAGGTGAAGAACTGTCTTTTTAATTACATTATTTAGCTTGAATAGGTTCAGGCTTGAGAGTTTTAATTAACTCAACTGGGAAAGTAAATAACTCAACTGCAATTCCCCATCGTCCCAGCGCCCTCGCCGCCTCCTCCTGATAGAGCACAGATGACCCAGGAAGGAATGGGGGCCTGAGGGAAGGGGTCAGGATTCTCCTCCTTTTCGACTCTTCAGCTGAGCCCTTAACTAAACAAACCTCAGGCAACCCTGGAGACGCTGAGCCAGCACCCGTCCCCCTCTGGGTGCAGGAGACACCAGGCAGATTTCCTCCTCTGTCCTCGGTTTCCGTTTAGACTAACTTCAGGATCTGAGCTCAAGCTCTTCCCTCTCACTCAGAAAGCTAATGTTTTAAAATGATCCTCTGCTGAACAAAATGATCGAGCACACAATGTTTTCTTAGAGCAGCATCTGTCTTCACGCGTGTAAACAGTACCTGAGCACGCCTCACAAAGGCCGAGTCTTGTTCAACCTGGCAGAATCTCAGATAGAAGTACGCATGCTCTGATGCATGCGTGCAGTATGCGCATGCCCGACGTGGTCCTATGTTAACGCGCCGGCCTGATGTGGGCGTGTGCTGACTTGCGCATGCTCTGATCTGTGCATGCTGATGCGCATGCTTCACGTGGGCATGTGCTGAAGTGTGCATGGCTGCTCGTGGACCTTGCTGTAGTTCTGGGCGCTTTGTGATTTGGGCTCTTGCTGAGTCTAGTTCTGTTCAAAAACAAAAAAACCAAAAAATCCCCAAGAGGACTGATGGTATGGAGTGTTAAAACCCCTCTGGGGTTTTAGTAAGCAACCCAGGGTCCCATGTGGAAGCCACTATAACTTCAATCACACAATGCTGTGTGTTTGCACTGCGATGGAGAGAGCACTTCATTTTGAATTCAGTGGAATGAGTAACATTTGGCTTTTATGTGTTAGCCTTGCTGGTTGACTAGATCTGTTTTGGGGGGGTTGTGGTTTGTGTGTGTGTGTGTGGTACTAGAAATTGAACCCAGGGGTTTACACACTGAGGAACACTCCTAGTCCTTTTTTTTTTTTTTTTTACTCTTGAGACAAGGTCTCTCTAAGCCTCACTCTCTAAGTGACCCAGGCTGGGCTTGCACTTGCCATTTTCCTGCCACAGCCTCCCAGACTGCTGGGATTACAGGCAGGTGTACCTTACCTGGCTAATCTGGGTCTTCTTATTGGCTGATGAAAGGATCCTGGGTTTGTTGCCATGTAGCTCAAAGGGCCTGTGCTCAGCGTGATCGGACACAGGCCTGGGAGGGTGGCCATCCTCGAGCTCTCTGATGCCCTGCAGAATACCAGTGGCTCAGATGGTTCAGAGCACTCAGAGACCCCTCCTCTCACCGAGGCAAAGCCTGGACTGCAGAGCGAAGGCCTCAGCTGCAGAAACCTCACACAGAAGGGTTGAAGCCTTACCCCTCTTAGAGATACACATCTGTGAAAGGGTCACCCACAAGTAGGCCCAGCGCTGAGCAGCCTTTCCCTGAGTGGGTGCAGGACCCAAGCAGCCCTGCACTCACAATGCCTGAGCATGGTTACTATTGCTCATCTCTGGAAAGACATGTGCAATCTTTACACACAGGGTCTGAAGACCACACTCAGCCATGGACAGTCACAGAGGAGGAGGCGGGGTAGGGCCTGCTCTGCTGGGGACTATGGAGAACCCTCCTGACAAGGAGCCCAGAAGCTGTGTCTACACTGCACTCTCAGGAGAGCTCCAGGTTTCCATAGCCTTTCTGCTTCAAAGTAGCAACAACATTGCTGCAGGTGAGTTTATCAGCCTGACTTTACAGAAGAGGAGTGTATCAGTCACTTTCCTATTGCTGGGTCAGAATACCCGACGCCCACAACTTAAAGAAGGAGAGGATATTTTGCCTTGTGATTTCAGAGGTTTCAGTCCATGGTCAACTGGCTCCAAAGCAGAAATGGCATGGTGGAAGGGCCTGGTGGAGGAGAGCTGCTCACCCCATGGCATCCAAGAAGCAGAGAGAGAAGGAAGGAGGCAGGAAGAATGCTCCCTTCCAGATCACATCCCCTGTGACCTGTTCCTTCCAACCAGACCCACCTCCAAGCACATGAGACTTTTGGGGGACATTTTAGATCTAAACCATGATGGCACCAGATGCCTAACCAGTGAGCTCACGAGGCAGGAATGTTATCAGGGCAACTGACTGAAAACCAGAAACACTAGTTGTTCCTGCCCTGCTGTTCTGAGTCGCACAGATCTTCTAACTCAGCACCACAGAGGTTACTTGTCAACTGGGATAGACACAGATTCCATTCAGGGTGACAGTCACAGCATTTGGAGGACCATTTTGAGAAGAGTCTGAGATCTCTGGACTATGAAAATATTTAATAGGACAGAATAATTTGAAAGAATACTAAAAATAATATGTAGCAGAAATCAAAGAAGTAGTATCTTTACTAAGAATTTGTTGTTATATAATAAAAGCACAAAGAAGTAAGGAAAATGTAATGAATAAAACACTACATACTATCCAAAACTGATTATAGAGTCTCAACTCCAAAATGGATTATCTTTTGAGACTCATAATAAACTTTTTTGATGATTCATACTTTTGAAAATATTTGGAGTCACTTGTTAATATTTATCCAAAAAGTTACGTATTTTTCATCAGTTTTACAGTGACTCAAACTGAATAAAACATTTTTATATCTAAAATGAAAAAGTCATCTGTTGTCCCTTTCCCTTTGGGCCTGTCTCCCCTTCATTTATCCTCACTATCCCTGTCTTCTGTTTCTTCCCTTGTAATTTTTTGTAAGACCTCAGAATGTCACCTTGTATGGAAATAAGTTCTTTGCAGATGCAATCAGGTCAAGACGAGGTCACTCTGGATTTGGAGTAACCTCAGATCCCTTGGTGATGTCCCTACTAGCAGAGGGAGAAGGCCATGCAAGATGCAGGGAGAGCTGGAGTGAGGTGTCTACACCTATGCATCCCTGAAGCCACTGAAGCTGGACGGGCAAGGAGTGCTACTCTGACAGCCTCCCAAGCTGGCCTCGGTATCTCGATCCCTGACTTCCAGCTTCAGATCTTCAGTTCTCTGGCTTTGAGCAGGCACTTGTGCTGATTTATGAGGACAAACTGAGGGGGCCGTCCACCCTCTCCTAAGCGTCCTGGCCTGCAGTGTACACATCTACAGTCCTGAGCTTGGAAGCTTCCTTTCAGCCATTCATCCATCCTTTCATCCATGTGTACACATGCTTGTTTATTTTTATGTTTTAGTTACTTTTTCTGGGCGGAGAGTTAGTCTTTCTAATCCAGCAGCCAGCACTCATGATTCTTCCCCCAAATTGGGAAACCAGCACACAGAAATATGGTGGGCCTTGAATTTTTTTTTTTTTTTTTGGAAAACATAAAATTAGAATTGCAATTCTACTTCATCCAAGAAATTTCATTCTGAAAAATTTCAATATACATAATTATAATTTTCAATGAAAAATCTATGGCTAAAATTGATTGTTTTACAATACACATACAATAAATAACAGGTTCCATACATGTATGTACATACATTCACATTATATTCATACATGTCAATGTTGACTGAAATATTTCAAAGATACTTATTTTGCCGGGGATTTAGCTCAGTGGTTTCGCTGCCTGCTGAGCAAGCGCAAGGACCCGAGTTCAATTCCCGGTACCAAAAAAAAAAAAAAGACAAAGATACTTACTTTCCTGGTCTGTTTTCTTAGCACTTATAATAGCTTTTAGGGATTGGCCATATTTGCAAACATTCAGACACCGATGGAAATCATCTAATACTTTTATTTCCTTTTTGTAAGTACAAATTAAGGTTTTTTTCCAGCTTTGCAAGTAGCCATAACTCATTTTATGGTTTTTGTTTGTTTTGTTTTGTTTTCTTAGTTACTCCGGGCCTTGAGCCTGCTGGAAAAGTGCTCTACCACTGAGCTACATCCCCAGCCCCAACTTTAGTTACTTAACATTTCAATGGTTAGACTCAACTCAACTTTTAATTTTTCCTGAATTAGGTATTTCTCTGATTCAGTTTTATATGTGAGACATTCTCACTTTTATTTCATCATCCTTCAGGAGTCTTCTTTCCCATGAGTGTTTGGAAGTCTTGTGGTTTCTGGGTGCCCAGCTGCCTTGGCCACTCTGGCGAGGACTCTGAACCCTGAGTACGTGTGGGTGCGGAGCTTATTGGAGAACTGGAATTAGGAACTCTTGCAACATTTTTATTACATCCAGTCCTATTCTTTCTAAGCCAATCACTGATGTCAACAATGTCAGTGCAGATTTGATTTTCTGGAGCAAGGTGTCCCTAGGGCCCTGTCCTGCGAAGTTAACGAGGAATGCCTAAAGCCTCCACCCCACCCCAGGCTGTGGCCGAGCATCTCTAGGCCACGCAGGATGCAGCCTACCTCAGAGAGCTCAGCCTGTGGATCCTGCAAGCAGCTGACCCGTGTGGGGCTTTCTCCCCAGGCTGACAACATGGACTCAAAAAGCCTGGGCTCTGCTCCCTTCCCAGGTGGCAGCCACCCTTAGGACCTCAGCTTCCCTGAGTACCTGGCTGGGCATCAAGGCTGTCCACCCACTCACTGCTGCCTTCAGTGCCATGGCTGGCTTGGCAGGAAACAAAGGAAAGACACCTGAGCCATCGTGGGCCCACTCCTTGCCTGTGTGCCAGCCCAAGTGTGTTCCCACAGGAGTGGAGAGGAGGCAGGGCCGAAGCTCTCCTGAAGTACTGTGATCACCTCTTTTCACACAAGAGAGACTAATCTTTATATAACTGCTAGTGAACAGATCGGTGAAAATGTTTCCTAATGAATTATAAATACTAAATAGGAGACAAAACCAATTAATTTGTTTATATGTGTAATTAAAACTGCTAATAGTATTCGAAGTCTTGCAAACTGGAAGATGGGCTTTGTGGCAGCCATTTTTCTCAACTGAGCTGGAAAGGTTACCACGGTGACTAACAGAGAGATTCGGTCAGGTGCACTTTGTTCACACTTTATCTTAACCAAAAGGCTGGGGTGATTACATTTCCTTCGGTTTCACGTCTGGAAAGCCATGGGCTGTGACGTAACAGTCTTTCTCCTGACACATCACATCACAACTGTGGGGCTGCTTCCCAAAGAAGAAAGGGATCGTGCAGGGCTTGCAGCGATGAGAATCCCCTGCCCTGGCTCTGCGCGTCATAAAAATGGCCAGGGAGATCCACTGTGCAAGAACAAATTCTGGAGGTTATTGGACAAAAAGAGGGGCCAGCAGAACACCCTCACACCAAAAAAGAAAAATATCAAACATTCTTAGATCGGGCAACTTGGCAGAAAACCAGATTGAGAAATCATACTCCCAAATATGGACAAATTCCTACAAGGATGACAGTGATTTCAGAAACGCTTGGAAGTGAGGCGGAGCAGAAATACACAGGGAAAGACCCGTCTGATGTCAGCTATGTTCTGGAGCTCGGGGCCACCAGGGCATATTGCCCTCCCTGGCAGCACAGACCTGAGGTCAGAGCCTGGAGCTGGGCTAACAGAGCTCAGGACCAGGGCCTCTG